CATCTTCACCACCCCACCCTCATCCAGGCCCTCAACAACTTCAAAAGCACATACTTCAACTGCAGATAGGTTGATCCCCTCAATCCAGCCTTTTTCTTCTCCCTGCGTCCTGCTTCTATCTTCCTAAGCCATGCTGCAACACTAGTTCAATAGCCAAATGTGGCTGTTTACCACCATATCAAATTTTACTTCCTTGGCCTTTTCCTGTATCTACCTCCAACAGGGAGGACTGGCTACAGAGTTTTAGGGGCTCAGTGCAAAACGCAAATGTGGCACCTCTTGGTCAAAAACTTAAGAATTTCAAAATGGCAACAGCAGAGCATGAAACCAAATGCAGGGCCCTTCTGAGCACAGGGCCCTGTGTAACTGCGTGGGTTCCACGGCCATGAATTTGGCCCTGCCAATAGGCACCTGCTACCCTAAGGAAGCCACTGTTCATGCTGTCCAGGTTTTGAGTCTTCTCACGTATTGTTCCCTCACCCTTCCACCAACACCCAGCTCCTTCCCACATTAAGCCTTAGCCTTTTCCCAGATGCATTCAAGTAGGGGCAACAAGTTGAGGATTGATCTTTACACATCTCTCTGATCCTTCCCCTCCTATAGTCTACAGTAGTCCTAACCATCTACACACGTTAATTTAGTCCCTAATTATATACTTCCCTATGTTTTTTCTGTGTCATTCATTCATTCACTCATTCACCATCTATCGTGGGCCAACTACTTGCCTTGACTGTGCTGGGCACTGGGTATGCTAAGTTCTAAAACAGCAGAGACCTTGTTTGACTTGTTCACCACTCCTTCCCTAAAGCCTCACACAGTGACTGGCTCACAGCAGACACTGAATAAATATTTGTTAAATAACCGTTGAATAGGTTTTCTCTCCACCATATGGTGAGTTCCTGGAGACCAAGAACTGTTTTCATTTGCTCTATGACTATTGATTTGGAACCTAATATGTGCCGTACATTGTTCCAGACATGAAAACACTGTTCTAGACCACTGCCTTTACTTCTATATTCCCTAGCACATTATCTCTAGCACATTATTATAACAAGAGCTAACATTTACTGAGTGTTTTATATGTGCCAGGCATTAGTCTAAGTCTTATCTATTAACTCACTTAATTCCCCCAATGATTCTATGAAATAGGTCCCATTATTATCCCCATTTTATAGATGAGGAAACTGAGGCTTAAAGAGATTGAGTAACTGGCCCAAAGTCAAATAGCTGCTGGGGTTTGAACCCAGGTGACCAGACAATAGCCCAATTTTTGACTACAGGGCTAGGCTGCCTCCAATGAGTATGTTTTGATTGACTGACTTGACTGAACTAGAGAGATCAAGGAAGAGCAGTGCTGGTGGCACAACACAAATCCATAAATAACCATCAAAGTGGTTGGGCCTCATAAAAATGACAAATTGTTATGCAATTTCCTGACCAACACTAGATATAATAGGTGCATAGTTTTTCAAGCTTACAATGTGGTAAATAGGACATAAACTATGGTATCATTTATTTCACTGAAATCACCCAGCCATAAAATGCTAAATAAAGAAGATAGCCCACTAGGCCACCCATGGAAGCCTGGAGGAAGAGAACAAACTCTAAGTTCCTACATGTTGGTGACTCTTTACTAGACTGAAGGTAAGCAATAAAGTTTTTAGGCTGAAAGTTCATTTGCTGGAGGCAGTAAAGCCTGTTGACACCAACAAGCTTACCAAGGCATTAGCAGGCAAAAAAGGAAAAGGGTGGAAAACAAGAGAATAGGAGGGAGGAAAATGGAAAAGGTGAGTCTAATGGAATATAGAGTGTGGGAGCCACCAAGAGCTGCCTTGGCTGCTCTGCTGCTGTGGTTGGTGCCCCAGCAGGAGACAGAACAGTCAAGATGAACATTAAATTTAGCCAAAGGCACATGGAGGGCCTTTTAGTCCTATGGGGCTCAGTGAAATGGAGATAGCAAGTCACTATTTGTCGTACTTTGATTTGGGTTCCACGTCAAGTATCAATAAATGGACTAGCATACAGCAAACAGACTAGAAGTAAGCATAAGGCCCAGGTTGATGGTGTGTGTTGGGTTTGGTAATGGGGGATTTATGCCACTCACATAAATGTGTGACAAGATGCAGGGGGTGAAAGCGGCTATTAACACTGATTAACTCAAAAGTTGACCACCAGCACACACAGCCATTGTTTCCACCAGCACTCGTTAGTGACGGGCTTTGTCTGGCTGGCTTCACAAGAGACAAATGCCATTACGGGAGACCAAATAACCTTATTTAGGCAGTCGACAGATAATAGAGACGCTCCAGGTATTAGCCTGACTGCATTAGTTTGATTTGTTACTACTGTTCACCTTGTCCTAGGCATTAATGGAGACAAAGGCTTGGAATTACTTGCAGCAGAGTTAAGCTGTGGATTAGAGAGAGCCTTCGTGTTTTGAGGGAAAGATAATTTTATCTGGGGTTTCCATTTCCATTTTCATCTTGCTTGATTTTTCCTCAAAGCTGAAGTCCAGTTTTTCCCTTGAATATCATCATATTCTCTCCAATTTACTAGCAATTTTAATTGTTAAAGAGAGTTACTGACCCATTATTTCCTTTAACAAGATCAGCCTTTTATCTTTTAGGTTTTTGGAAATGATTTTAGGGGAAATACACTAGTGATTTTGTATATTATCTTACTTCTTGAATATTCTTACATATTATGAACTCACTTCACAATATTTAATAATATTGTTATCAGTATCTGAAAATATAAAAGGATATGCATATTACATTCATAGTTACTTCTTTAACATTACAAATTCTATATTTAATTTTTTCTGACTTCTAAATGTTACTTGTTCTAGTTATAGATGCATAATTTCTATTATTAATGATTTCAGTTATAAATACATAACTGGTTATAAACACTATTTCAATTATACACAAAATTGAATTTTAGAATCACATAAATCAGTTATATTAAGCTGTCACTGGAAAATAATGAGATAATGATATTCTAGAGTTACTACATTTCTCTCCTCACCAGACTTTTTATAGATATGGTAAGTTTGTATAATTAAAAAATAGTTTAGGGGGCTTCCCTGGTGGCGCAGTGGTTGAGAGTCTGCCTGCCGATGCAGGGGACACGGGTTCATGCCCCGGTCCAGGAAGATCCCACATGCCACGGAGCAGCTAGGCCCGTGAGCCATGGCTGCTGAGCCTGCACGTCTGGAGCCTGTGCTCCGCAACGGGAGAGGCCACAACAGTGAGAGGCCTGTGTACCGCAAAAAAAAAAAAAAAAAAAAAATAGTTTAGGGACTTCCTGGCAGTCCAGTGGTTAAGACTCCACACTTCTACTGCAAGGGGTACATGTTCGATCCCTGGTGGGGGAACTGAGATTCTGCATGCCGTGCAGTGTGGCCAAAAAAAAAAAAAAGTTTAATTGCACTTCTAGTTGTTGATCAATGTTTGTGATGCTGTTTCATTTTTTTCTAAAGTCTGTAATTTTATACAGAATCCTCATACTTCTCACATTTGGGGGTTAGGTTTAATTTTAGATAAATTCTAGATAACCTATGATTACTCTTTGAAAAATCTCAATTTGTGAAAAGTACTAGTTCAAAAATACTTGAATATTAACATTGTGAAATAGTTAGTTATACACAGGACTTGCTAAGCCAAGCAAACATTAAGATGGAGACAGAGCTATATCTCCGAAACTGCAAGATGTTAGAAAGATGCACAGAATGTCAAGTCTGATGACATTATAAAAAATAACAACAGCAAAAACAACAAACATATACACATGTGTGTATATACATGTATAGATATATATGTGCTTTTATACACAGAAAGATCTACAAAAATGTTTAATGATGGTTATCTGTGAAGGATGAGATTTGAGGGAGGTTTTACTCTACTTCTATAATGCTTGAATTGTTTACAGTATGTAAACATGACCTTTGGGATTAAAATAAATGGCTATTTGAAAAAGCTTACCCATCGCATGATCCTTTCCCCTCAAACCCACTCCTGGTGACTTCTAGTCCTCCACCTTAATATGATTTCATAGGAACCTACGAAGAGCAAAGAAAGCTCTTGGTGGATAAATTGTGACTAATATATTTTATAAATAGTGCTTTGAATTTTATAATATTACTGAAAGCAGCTCTTTATGTTAGAAAAAGTGGCCCCACAGGGTGACAGCACAGACTTCTTGGAAAACATTTAATGCTTCTGCTCTTCCAGTTACTTCCCTGCTGCCCTTCTCTTCCTCCTCTCTCTCCATCTCAGCAATAGTGAAACATGATAAGCACAGCTTACTGCTGACCAGCTGTTGGGACACAGAGCTCTCTACCCCAAATTGTTCTCAGAAAATGATTTTTTAAAAGCTCTAAAATCTGAGTCATGGTACTTTTCCTCAGCAATAAGATACAAACTCCTCTAGTCTTTTCCATGCAATTAAAAAATGAAAGAAAAAAATATATAATGGGCAGAGACTCAATAATTCAACAAGAATTAGTCTACTCTGGTCATTACCGGAAGAGAAAAGAAGGGCAGAGGAATAGGAAGGAAAAAAAGGCAAGCAAGGGAGAATTCAATCCAAATGGGCAAACTTGAAATACAGCTTCCAGGAAACAAAGTCAGCGTTCTCCAGCTCATATCAAAAAGAACACCCTTCCGTTAATTAACTGGAAAATAAATACCCAGATCTCCAGTGGCAGGACTCCCTTGTGACGCATCTTATCTTATTCCTGTCTTTAACTGGCAGGTACAGTGGCAAATGCAAAGAAAATACAGTTTTGGCCCAGAAAGTGCCCTGATTATTTCCAGTGACAATGTCAGAACATATACAAAAGGCAGGAGAGTTATCTTACCTCCTCAGTCAACATATATATTACTTGTAACAAAATATACAGGTGATTGGAAATCACTAAACTGGAAATAGATACAAGCCAGATGATCATTCTTACTTTGATGAATGCAAGTAAAGTACAACATTAAGTGGACTAGAAAAACATTTTAAAATTTGCATTTATTTGTAGCTCAGTTCTTTTGTGCAATGCAATACTAATGGCATGAATAAGACAACTCATGATTTTACATCTCTACTTTGGCAATAATAACTTTGCTTTAAAAAAAAACAACTTGAAACTGGAATGCTATACGGATTTGTATTGATATATGGTGAGAAATTCTCACTGCTTTCTGCCAGAAATCAAAAGGAACAAAAGATTCACGAATAAATCACACTAATATATTTAAGTATAATGTTTCAAAATGCAGTTGAAGGAAACTTATTGAAACAAATCACACCTTTGTGCCATTCTTCAGATTATTTGACTTGAATTATTTTGTAAATGGAATCCATTTGTGGAGTCAATTAGTCATGAGTTTACTGATTTTAGCAAACTAATTTATTAGATTAAATTTGCTCACAAAAAATAGCTGGCTTTTTCTGAAAATGTTTATTAAAATATATAGGAAAGGCCTTTATTGTAACTAAAAGTGCCCAAGTATAATAGGTACCATGTTATAATAGTAATTATTTACAATATATTTTCAGAAAAAAAAGACAATACTCAGATTAAACACGGAAAAGAAAACATCACATTTTTAACACTTGATATCCCCATTGATTCTTTATATTCCACAATTGGAAGATAATTCCCCATGTTTAGTTTTCTATCTATTCCAGGAGATCTGTGTTGAAATTTTTTTTGGCCATGAGAAACTGTGATTCTCTATGGGATCTTTTCAGCTTTGCACGCCGATTTTGGAACCAGATCTAAAATTAAGGAAAAAGAAAACAGATCTGAGAAATGTTATTTTATTATTCTTAACATTTTAATTACCACGAGTAATAACTAAATTAAAAAATTACCTGGATTCTGTCTTCCTCTAGGTTCAATTTTCGAGCTAAGTCTTCTCTGATATCAATGCCAGGATAGCAGTTTACTCTAAAGACATTTTCCAACACTTCAATCTAAGAATAAGGAAACAGTTATTTAAAGTGTTGATCTTTGGTATGTTATCATAAAATAGACTTTAATTTGTATAGCAACATAATTGCATTTAAATCTTGGGCAATTAATCTGTATGCCTTTTTTAAAAAAATTACTATCCAGAAACTGTTAAAGAGAGAGAGATAGAGACAGTCTATTGTTTCATTAATAAGGATTCTAAACTGAGATCCCAAGGTGGATAGGCTTTTGCCCAACAGGGTGTCAGTTAAAGCCTTTGTATTATGATCGTTGGTTGAAAAAACTTCCTACCTGGTTTTGAGTAAAAGCGGTTCTGGGTCTTCGGCCTCTATACCAACTCAACTCTCTTTTCAAAGAAAGTCTTTCTGAGGGTGAAAAGTAATCTTCATATTTCAAAACACTTTCTTCCGGCACTGAGTGATCCACAGTACAAGGTAATGAGATCCCATTAGGAAGACTCGGGACATGTAGACATAGGTTAACCTCTTTCCCTAAAAACAGAAAAATAAATCCCACCTTAGATGTCCAATTCTATATTCCACAAAGTTCTATAAGAAGTAATTTCAGGAACTTGTCTTTAATTTTCCTAGTAGAATTCTTCTGGGTTTCACAGAACTGACCTTTCATCGACCAAAATCCAAAAAGCAAACAAAAATGAAAACCCTGCCTTGCTGATAGAGGACATATTTTGGCCTCTGAATGTCATTTAATTTTCAGTGAAAAGAGATTTAGAATATCTGATATGGCAAATACACCCAGAGATCTTCTGAAGAAAATGAAGGTTCTTGGCATTTCCTGTGGGTGAACTTCATATCCACTTGGATCTAAGGCCGATGTTCTTTTTATTTCCCATAGGACTCAGCTGGAGGCATTAAAAGTGCTAGATTCTTCAATTATGTAATTGGATGAAATTGCAGTTTTTCTCTAAGTCTATGTAGTACGAAAAAAAGGTCAAATTAAACATTGCAAACTAATTAACAAAGAATTTTAAAAATTAAGTTGTGGCGTACCTGAAGCGCCGCAGGTGTCTGCCCAGGGCCTGTGGGGTTTCATTGATGGAACACAGTCTTTCTTCTGGTCCAGTCCTAAGATGCTCTCAATTGAAAAGGAGCAGGGCAGGGGTTTGCTTTTCCCAAGCCGAGCACCTTCTTGAAGGCTGGGAGACATCCTCGTGTGGGCTGCACAGAGCTATAGCTCTGGCCTCTCCACTCCTCCCTGGCTGGCTCTGCCCCACGTGTACCGGGCTGAACCTTCCTGCAGTTCACCTTATGGCTCCGCTGACGATGGGGGCTGGATTTAGAACGTCACTAATTAAAATCCCGTCTTAGAAAGTTTTAGCATGTCAATGAACACTGGCCCAGCCAGCAGCTCCAGGAGTTAATTGTTTATTTGTTTGCAAGTAATTAGCAACTAATGGTTACACCAGGGGGGCCACGTACAGGGACAAAAAGTGTTATCTCTCCTAAGCAGAACACAGACTTAACTTTCTCGAAAAGAAGTGATGCACAGACTAACACTCCTCTTTTATTTGAAATCATTAATGTATAAAATCATGCTTTTTATTCTGAAGTTTATACTTTCATGAACTCCAGTTACCTAATACAGGCAAGAAAGGAGAGCAGTCAAGTAATAAATAATCTAATTTAAGTGAATTTTCTTCCAAAGAAATTGGAAAAAATAATAATCCCTTAATGCTATTATAGTAATTCTGATGAAAAGGCCTGTTTTTCACATGCATATGTAATAGTGAATGTTGTCAATGAAAACACAATAGTATTTGGAGTGCAGCATACTGGAAAAGGTTGGCAATGTTATTAACACTGAGTTTAATTGTCTTCCAAGTGCCTCGATTAATTCATAAGGAACAGTTGCACCAAGTATTTTAAATAATTAATGAGCTAATTCTCTTCTTTCATCTTTTCTTTTAAATGAGAGAGATACAAGTTTATATGAAGATTCATATGTAACCGCCTCCAAGCAACTAAAAAGTATGACTATTGAAACTAAAGGAAGAATTTCTCTCCCAACATAGTTGTTTCAAAGAAAAAAAAACAGTTTATCTTTTAAAGAAAAATTTCTCTCTGTTGATATTTTGAGGGACTGGAGGGTTTTCATGAGGACAATAAGGTTTGTGAAAAATAACCAAGAACAGAATATTTTAATGTCATCATCCTAAGAAAACATGAAATTAAAAGAGAAACACACCTGCTAATTGGGAAGATTCTGAAGTGGCCACTTCCTACCAAAGTTGTGACACTTTTAGTTCTTGTACTCTCCTGCTCCTCTTCTTCCAATACCTTCTTGATGATAAATTTAACTGCTCAGCTTTATCCAGCATTTAAACAACTATTAGGCTTTTCTTGTGGGAAGAGGAAAAGTAGTCTGTGTCATAGAGGAAACAGCCTCTACAGGACTGAGCTCAACTTCATCAGATTTTGCCCTATCATGATGTCACTTCCTATCACAATGTCATAAATACCAAGCTAAATTCCTCCTTACACTAGCTCTAGAGTGAATAAAGGATCCACACACAAAGCATCAACAGGCACACAAGATAGATTTATAAATATACAAGTAAAGCCATCCTGACAATGAATAAACTAGTAAAACATTTATACCTTGTGGAGGTTTTGCCTGTAGTGTCTTGGGAGGTAGACTGTGCAATGGTGAGGGTGACCTTACTCTGGGAAGACTTGGAGGAAGAGATTGATTCAGAACCTCCCAGATTCCTTTCTCTCCTTTGAAACATTCATGCATTCATCCATTCATCCCGCAGTTGGGTGAACATCTACTGAGTACCAGAAAAAACAGAATAGGATCCTTGCCTTCATGTGCCCATGAAGCTCACAGCGGGCGTGGGAGTGGGGAGACAGGCAACAAACAATAATTGTAAATAAGTAAATAATCTCGTACATTAACTAGGGATGAGAATGGAAAAAGAGAAAAGGTAAGTCAGGTAAGGGAGGTGGAAGGAGGCCTCACTGAGACCTTCAACCCCACAGATTAGTGTCCTAGAGGCACAAGTTTCAAGGATGCCACAACACAGGCTGAAGCAACTCCAGTCCCTAATTTCTTCTTTACGAACACAAACATTGCAATATTTTTATTTCTCCTGAGTTGATTTTATCTGGACTTACTTATAACATTTTATATATGGATGAGTAGATGGAAATAAAAGATAGCAAAGAATTTCTTTTAAAATGTGGAGGAAATGTTTTCTCATATACTCATATAATGAATTTTTATATAGCACTTAACCTGTGCCAGATACCATTCTAGGTGCTAGAGATTAGTGATAAACAAAACAAGGTAATTTTAGAGAGTGATAAACTCAATGAAAGGAATAAACAAGGTGATGGTGATAAAACATAACAGGGGTAGAGGTGGAATGGGAAGAGAGTCTTTAAGTATTGATGGTCAGGGAGGCCTCTCTAAGGAGGTGACATTTTAGCTGAAGCTGAGGATGAGAGAAAGCTAGCATGCCAGGATCTTGAGAAAAAGCATTCCAGTCAGAAGGAACAGCAAGTACAAAGGTCTTGGAGCTGAAAAGCATTGGAATATTTGAGGAAGAAAAGGGCAGTTAGCCAGAGAGAAGTGAGTGGTACCAGATGCTATTGTTTGGAGAGCCAGGCCTGGCTGGATTAGAGATGCCTTTATAAAGACCATTGTAAGGAGTTCAAGAGCAAAGGGAACCCACGGCAGGGTTTTAAGTTGGGACTAATATGATAGTCTGAGCTGTTTTTACTCACAACACTTCTGACACCAAATGTGTATGGGTTTTTCCACACCGAGCAATTCTCCAGTTCTCTGCAGACATCAACAGGGTGTCCTACAATTCAATTCTGACACTAACTACCTGGAGCTAGTGCAGACCCCACAGGTTAAGGGCTCAGTACCACGAGACTGCCCCCACTCTAGAAACTAGTTTGCAAGTCCCAAGTTGCCACGTGTACTTCTGACCAACCGACTGTACATCTGGGGTTCCCACGACCCACTTCTCAGGTTCAATTATTTGCTAGAATGGCTCACAGAACTCAGGAAGGCATGTTGCTTATGTTTACTAGTTTATTATAAAGAATACAACTCGGAAACAGTCAAACGGAAGAGATGTATAGGGCAAGGTACGGGGGAAAGGTCAGAGAGCTTCCATGCCCTCTCTGGGCACACCACCCTCCCAGTGAACACCATTTCAATGTGTTCGCCACCCTGGAAGCTCTCTGAACCCTATCCTTTAGGGGTTTTTATGGAAGTTTCATTGCATAGGCAAGACTGAATAAATCATTGGCTATTGGTGACTGATCTCAATCTCCAGCCCCTCTCCCCTCCCCTGAGGTTAGGAGGTGGGGCTGAAAATTACAAGCCTCTAATCTAGGTTTGGTCTTTCTGGCAACCAGCCCCCACCTTGAAGCTATCTAGAACCCACCAAGAGTCATGTCATTAGAATAAAAGATGCTCCTATCACTCTTATTACTCAAGAAATTCCAAGAAATTTAGTAGCTGTGTGCCTGGAACTTGGGACAAAGGCCAGATATATTTCTTTTTATTATATCATAGATAGGACTTATGGTTTTAAAACCCCACCCTGGCTGCTACGTAGAAAGAGACTGAAGAGTGATGAATGTAACCAGGAAGATCAGTTGGGAGTTGTTTATTCAATACCTTTTTACTGAGCATATACTAATGCCAGGCATTGTTCTAGGTATGATGAAAACAGAGATAGCTGTCTGGGGCAAGAGATGAAGGCTAATAGCGGATTTGGGGAGGGATACAATTCTTCAGGAGGTTGTGGGAGACTGAGTAATTGAATAATTAGTACCAATTCTTCAATCCCCATAATATACTATACAGCCACCCCCTTGCTGTGGCCTCATAGTGGATATAGTGTACTTCCCACTCCTTAGCTTTAGGCTTGTCTATGTGACTTGCTTCAGCCAATGGGAAGTGATGTGAGCAGAAGCTTGAAATGTGCCAGCATGACTGGTTTTCCCTCCTGAGCTTCTGATATCACCATGTGGTCATCCCTGGGGTAGCTGCTGCCCCTCAGCCTGAGTCCCAGAATGAACACACAGATCCCAACCCATCCTGCAGCCTGCAGTCAAGTAGGCCAAGCCCAGGCAAACTCAGCCAAACACCAACTGACCTACAGTACTGTGAGTGAGAAAAATAAATATTCGTTGTTTAAGCCATTGAGATTTTTGAAGTTATTTGACACATAGCATTGTGGAGGAAATAGCTCATCCATTCAGGGAGAGAAAAACACATCCTGCTGATGGACTGGTGGAAATGAAGGAAAGAGAGGCATTAAGGATGACTGTTTTTTGGCTTGAGCAAATATAGTGTCATTTACTGCGGTGTGAAAGCCTGGATTAGGAGAGGAAAGGTTTGGCAAGAAGTGAAGAGTTCAAGTTTGGATAGCAAGTAGGCTACTGGGTTTATGAGTATGAGCTCCGGGCTGAATCTCTCAAGTTTGTGCATTACAAGCATAAATCATAGGTATTAAAGCCATTAAAATCTAGAGGTTTGCATGAGATCACCAGTGAATGGACCTAGATACAAGAAGGATCTTAGGACCAAGTCTGAGGTATTCCAACATTTGGAAATTGGAGAAGATGTGCTGGAGAAGGAACTAGAGAAGGAAACAGCTAGTAAGGCAAGAGAAAAATCTGGAGATACAGTAATTGACCCAAGAGAGGAAAAAGGATCAAGGAGAAAGATGGCTACAATAGCATCTCAAGTGGTCTTCCTGATCTCCTTCCCATCCTTGATCTCCTATGGCTTTCTATCAACACAGTAAACAGCCAGAGGGATCATTTAAAAACAAGTCAGTTCAGGGAATTCTCTGTCTGTCCAGTGGTTAGGACTCCGTGCTGCCACTGCAGGGGGCACGGGTTCAATCCCTGGTTGCCTGGTTGGGAATAAGATCCTGCAAGCCGTGCAGTGTGGCAGAAAAAAAAAAAGTCAGTTCATATCATAACTCTGCTCAAAAAATGGCTTCCCATCTCAGTAAAAGTCAGCCTTTATAGTGTCCTACAGGCTCTGACATGATTTGCCAGCCCCCCTTCCCTATCTGATCTTACCTCTTATTACATCTCCCATGCTCACTTTGTTCCAGCTACACTGGACCTCTTCCTGAAAACACAGGCACAATCCTGCTTCAGGAGTTTACACTGGTTGTTCTCACTACCTAGAATGTTCTTCCTTCACATATCCTCATGGACTACTCTGTTACCTCCTTCAAGTATTTCCTCAAATATCATTTTCTCAATAAGGCTTACTCTTCCTGCCCCTTT